TCTGGTTCATTTAAAGCGGAGCAAATTATCAGGTCTGAATACGACCTTAGTTAAAAATAGTCTCACCATTGCTTCTTCCTTGTCGGCCATGTTTATTTCCTCTGAACTCATGTTTGATCCTGAGAGGTTTCGCGAGATTTCTTGTTTGACATCTGAATGTTCGTGAGTGATTTCTGTTCATGTGTGGTGTTTGTTGTCTTTGTCRAGTGTCTGTACACCACACACTGTAGGACCAAACCTGTTCTATGATTTTATTTTATTTTTATCGTAATGTGTGGGGTTTCTCAGTAAAATCATCCAACAATTTTAAACCTTGCAGAGTGAATCAGGCATAAAAGAGAGGCTACAATGTTAAAACAATGCAATGGAAATCTCAGTTTTGAAGGAATATATACGATTATGTTATTAGTAATCCATAGTAAATATAAACATTTTGGTTCATTCATACAGTATCTTTGAAACATGTACAGTGAAGCCCAGCAAAGTTGTGTTTCACAGACTCAGTCATTTGCAGAATTTTTCATGACTCCTAACTACTAGTTTGCTGTAGTCCCCATGACATGGGAAATACAGTACTRAAGGAATGTCCTTTTTTTAAATTTTGTGCTTTTTCACAAGTTTTCAAGCTAAATTATTAACAGTTTAATTTACTAATTAACATGCTCATACAGTAAGAATCACTCAGAAGTCTGATGAAACAACAAATTGAGGTCTTGGTTCTCATTACTCTGCAAAAGATAGGAGAATGTTTTTGGTGTGGCTTGTCTGTCTGTAGCAAAATTTTCCAAAACCATCAAACCACAATTCATAAAACTAAAAGAAATTAAAAAAGAAAAACGATTGCAGACAAACCAGTTCAAGATTTTGATGAACACAAATTTCCATTACTGTTGGTGAACTCACATGGTATAGCCATAACAAATTAAATAAATGAACAGAAATTAAATTATCTAGGTCTCCCAAGCAGAAAAAAGCAATTTTTTTGTACATAAAGTATCAGCTGTTCATGTCATTTCCTAAACCTCAGGACAAGATTATCCCAGGCTTAAAGATTTGCGAGGTATCAATCACCCTTTGTTAAACACAAATTACCTGCTTCAGGCAAAATCCTGAGATCTCCATCAGCGTAGTCGTCCCACAGCTGGTACATATAGAGAACAGGGTCCTTTTCATAAGTGATATAATACCAGTTGGTCATGATGGGAGCTCTGGACAGGACCATCCCTCTCCACTCGTTTTTCTCTCCATCCTCCTTTTCAAACAGATGCTCCACAGCTTTGCCCACCAGCTCCTCGGCCTCTGGGGGTATCCTTATTTTGTTGTTTACTGTAGAGACATGGAATACACATTATGGATGGAAACTGCATGTGTGCTGATAACAGTAGACACTGACAAAAAATAAAAACTGTTGGCGTGTTGAGATACGCTTTAAATCAATGAATCACTCAATAAATTAAAATGAGGTTGATAATTTTCATTTGCCTACTTTACTTCGTGTCTAATAACATAATCGTATCTATTCTTCCTTGGCGTAGGAAGGAGTGAACTCCTGCATCAGGCATTTGCCAGACGCATGGTCTCATAACCGCTGTAGCACGGGAGCCCAGTGAACAGGCATTCGGCTAAAGAGGTCTTTATTTTTTTAACTCCGTCTTTCTACTGCAACGCTTCAGGACGACCTCAGGGCACAGTGCCAAACCCTGGGTTCGATTTATTTTTACACTACGTAAATTTAGTAAAATTTGTAGGCAGTGTGAGGGTGAATGCATTTATTTTATGAAACCAGACGAAGACATAAAAAATTCCATATTTATTCATGTATAATACGATCTCATGTATAATACGACCCCCCCTTTTTGAGCTTAAAAAGCATAAAAAATTGAATCCTCAAACTACCTCCAATTTCATACAGACTTCAAGATTTTTCAGCCTTTGCAGTCTTTATACAAATCAGTAAAATGATCATAGGACTGTTCATTTTATTTTAACAACATATGTACTAAAAGGTATTTTGACAACAAATATATATCAGCAAACTATGATTTTAAGCATCATATGAATTCTGGCATTTTACACATAGTCCACCAGGATGCACCAACACAAAAGTCAGAGACTTCACATGAGAGTTGGGCCATCTTCAAGCAGATACAAGCAGATTGCTTCCTACTCGCGAGCGCCCCCTCTGGTGCGGAAACTTTTTTTCAGGGATACAAACTTTTTTTAGAACACCGGTAGACGGCCGTCATTACAGATGAACATGTGTTTGTTGTTGTTCCAGCAGCGGCTTGGTCACACGCTAATGTCATTAGCTTGTTATCATTACTAAGGTGCAGGACTACTCCCCGCCCCTTTTTTTTTCATATCATGTCGCCTGCCTGGATCTGTTACTATCTCACTCTGAAGCATGGAGGACTGTCACAGGTGAGCTCGTTTCAACTGCTTTTTACAACGCCGTCTCATTTCCGGACTCAATAATTTTGCCGATATTTAAGTTAAAATACATCAGCAAAAATATTTATCCGAGTATAATACTACCCCCCAACTTTATGGATGATTTTATGGATTAAATTTTATGTATTATTATACACAAATAAATATGGTATATTGTGCCAGCTTGGATGGAGGAGGTGGGAAGCAATTAGTCTCTAAACAATATTATAGTTTATCGTGACAATTTGACACAATTTATCGTCCAGCAGAACTGTGACAGGCCTAGTCACCAACTCACCAACGGATTCCGAMAGGACTTGCAGGTTAGACACTCTCTCATCCTTGAACAACTCGATGCCATAGACGCAGTCAAAGCCGTCGTACTTCACCATAAACAGGGAGGGGTTTACACTCAGTCTGTCCAGTACCGTTCCTTTCCATTTGCTTTGGTTTCCCCTCTCACGCCAGTTGTGCTGAATACGAACTCCCACAATGCTGTTTGGGTCCGGGGTTAATGTGTCACTCAGCTCCCCACTGCTCCGCTTTCTGATAGTAAACAAGTACAAGATATACCAGAAGTGAAGACGCCCRTTTTCTTAACTTTTAAATGTCAAACGACCTAAAACTGTGTTTAAAAACAATACATTTTTCCTCCTTTGGATTTATTGTGAATCACATCTATCATTTTATTTTATAAAACATACAGGTTTTACAATGAGAAATAAATGCTTACAATGTTTAGTGTATGATTAAAACTACCACATTTCACTTTTTTCAAGTGTTGACAATCATCTAACCCCTGTATGTGAGGTAATAAAKAAAGAGGATAGATATTTGCTCTGTAAAAACCTGACATTATTGTTGATTCATGCTGGATGAAACATGTTCAAACTGACTTTTCTAGTTTAAACATTGGTTCTGTTTTTAATAGCTTTTATTTTTAGCAGCAAGTTTTGCATTTATTGCTGTAYGTCCAATTTATAAACTTATTAGTGTTTAATGATTCATAAGAAAAAAAATATTCTGCATGTCAACCTGGCGGCAATGCTCTTTCTGAGACTGTTTTTAATTTATTAAAATGTTACAAATAATGTTTAGAATAGTGA